GCACACATTGTCTTTAACCTAAGACACCTGGTACCAGGACCCCCCTGAACTCCCATTCCTCAGCAGTGGCACCCTCCTGCACCCCCTTATCCTGCAACCCTCCATCCCCTTCTCTGACATCCCGCCAGTGCTATGTTTTGGATTCGGAATGAGAATGGTGCTGATAACACACCAATGGTTTGGGTTTCTTTCTAAGTCGTGTTTATCCTGAGTCAAGGACTCTTCCTTGTCTCCTGCTCTGCCAGTGACGAGATTCACAAAAGAAATTGGGAGGGAGCACAGCTGGGTCAGGGGACCCGAACTGAGCAAGGGGATATTCCACACCATGGAATATTATGCTCAGGATATAAACTGGGGGCAGGTATCTGGAAGGGGCCTATCTGGGTGGGGGCAAAGGGGTCTGACATCAGTCTGCAGGTGGTGAGCAATTGCACCGTGTATCACTTTGTTTTCTCTTTTTGTTATCATTATTATTATCATTTACCATTATTATTGCATTTTACTTTATTTACAATTATTAAACTGTTTTAAACATACAAGTTTTACTTTGGTCCTTGTGTTCCCTGTGTCCCTGCCCACCATGTGACCCTCATGTCCCCACTGCTGTAGTTTTAAGCCCAGCTGGAAATTAAGCCCCTTGCTGAACCCTCCCTGCTTCCCATCCCTGGTGGAATGGGGAGGAGAATCAAAAGGACACAGGGAGTGGGGATCCAGGGGATGGGGGGATGAGGGACCCACAGGACACAGGGACTGAGGACACTAGAGACAGGAATGGGACACAAACACCAGGAATGGGGACACCAATTCCCCTTTATTCCCTGCCTCCCTCTCCCGTGGCGTCCGGCCGCCCGGTCCCACCTCCGCCCTGGAGCAGGCGGCTGTAGGCCCCGTGGCGTTCCCGCAGCTCCGCCGGCGTTCCCGCCTCCGCCACGGCCCCGCGCTCCAGCACCACGAGGCGATCGGCCGCTTCCAGCACCCGCGGCCGGTGGGAGACGACCAGCACGGTCCGGGCGAGCCCAGTGCGCACCCAGCGCTGCGCCTGGGGCCAGACAACCCTGATCCCATCCCATCCAACCCTGTCCCACCCAATCCCATCCCACCCCAACCCATCCCACCCCTTCACCACCCGCATCTCCACTCCCACTTTCCTCTCCTGTCCCCACTGTCCCCATCCCCACTGTCCCATCCCACCCCATTCCCACCACCCCAACCCCTCCCATCCCATCCCATTCCATCTCTCTGTCCTCATCCCAACATTCCCAACTCCACCATTCCCACACCATCCCATCCAGCCCCATCACATCTCTTCATCTTCATCTATTCATCTCAACTTGCTACCATCCCACCCGCCCGGTTTTTATCCCATCCTCACCATTCCCATCCCACCATCCCATCCCATTTCTCCAGCCTCTTCCCACCTTCCCACTCCCTACCTTGTTGACCTACCCCACCACATCCAATCCCTTTGTCTTCATCCCATCATTCCCAACACCATCCCACTACCTCATATTCCCCCCATCCCCTCTCCCCAGTCCCATCTCAGCCATCCCATCCCTCCATTGCCCACCTCACCTCAGTCCCACCCAATCCCCCTCATCCCACCCCACTCACCGCCCCCTCGTCTCCGTCATCCAGCGCCTCGTCGAGGATGAGGACGGTCGGACGCCGGAGCAGGGCCCGGGCCAGGGCCAGGCGACACCGCTCCCCTGCCGCCAACTGCCCCCCGAACTCCCCCACCTCTGCGGGGGATCCCATGGGATCAGTGGGATCCAGCCCCTGGGGTCCCCCACATCCCCCTGCCAATCGCCCCCTGCTCAGACACCTCTGCCAAAGTATCCCAAAACCAGCAGGATCCATTTCAGGGGTGCCCCCATGCCCCCAGCTCTCACCGGTGTCCCAGTCCCACTCCAACCCTGGGATGAAGCCCCTGGTTCCAGGATTCCCCTGGGAGCCCCCCACGGTTCTCACCAGTGTCCCAGTCCTGCTCCAACCCCGAGATGAAGTCCCTGGCCCCAGGATTCCTCCCGCACCCCCCAGCTCTCACCGGTGTCCCAGCCGTGCTCCAGCCCCTGGATGAACTCCATGGCTCCGGCAGCAGTGGCCGCCTCCCGCAGCTCCGACTCCTCGCAGCGCTCCAGCCCCAGCACAACATTCTCACGGATCGTTCCGGAAAACAGGAGAGGATCCTGCTCCACCAGCACCACCTGCCCCAGCCCCGAGCCTGTGAGCTGTCTCAGCTCCTGGTGTCCCCATCCCTGTTCCGTGGCCAGATCCCAATCTTGGTGTCCCCATCACTGTCCCCACTGTCTCCCTCCCTAATCCCACTGTCCCCAACCCCATCCCTGATGTTCCCATCCCATTTCCCACTGTCCCCATTCCTACGCCTGGTGTCCCCATCCTTGTTCCTACTGTCCCCATCCCTGTACCCAGTGTCCCCATCCCATTTGCCACTGTCCCCATCCCACCTCAGTGTCTCCATCCTATCCCTGGTGTACCCATGCCTTTTCCCAGTGTCCCCACCCCTGTCTCCCAGGTCCCACTTCCATTTCAGCCCCCGTGCCTGTCCCCATTGTCTCCATCCCATTCCTGGTGTTCCCTGTCTCCCTGCTTTCCCCACCTGCCGGTGTAAGTACTGGTGGTCATATTCCTGCAGTGGGATCCCATCCAGCAGCACCTTCCCGCTCCCAGGATCCCGCAGCCGCTCCAGCAGTGCCACGGCTGTGCTCTTCCCGCTCCCGTTGGGCCCTGCCAGTGCCGTCACCTCCCCGGAACGCACCTCGAAGGACACGTCCTGTGGGATGGGGACAGCTGATGCTGGAATTCCCACCCCTGGGAATCCACACCGACCCAGGATACACCTTGAAGGACATATCCTGCACGATGGAGAGGATGACGCCATCCCATCCCTGGGAATGCACAATCTCCCCTGGATCTGCCTTGAAGGACACATCCTGCAGAATTACATAGGAATTCCCACGCCTGGGAATCCCCACTCCCCCCAGACCCACCTTCAGCGCAGGGCGCTCCGGATGCCCGGGATATGTGAAGCAGACCCTCTGGAAGGTGACGTCGCCCCGGAGCTTGGAGGGCTCCAATGTCCCCCCCATGTCCCTCGTGGGTTCCTGATCCAGGTATTCCCAGATTTTCTGCCCAGCAGCCACATTGGTCATGAATTCATTGAAGCCGATGAGCAGCACCTGGGGAACGGGAGGGGGTGGCACCAGGATAGATGGAAACAGGGATGGATGGATGGACACATGGATTCTATGGGATCACCTGGACATGGCTGCCAACCGTGTCCCGGTACAGCAGGAAGGTGACGAGAACCCCAGGAGTGATGGATCCATCACAGAGCTGCTGGTGGCTCCGGAAGAGCACCAGGACCCGGATGGCCAGTCGGAGGACCTGTAGGTGGGAACAGGGATACTGGTGTCCCCATTCCCAGTTCTGGTGTCCCCATCCTGTCCCTGGTGTCCTCATCCCAGTCCCGGTGCCCCCAACCTGGTCCTGGTGTCCCCATTCCCATTCCCAGTGTCTCCATAACTTCTCTTGTTATCCCTGTCTCTGTCCCAGTCTCCCCACTTCCTTTCCTGGTGTCCCCATTCCTGATCCTGGTGTTTGCATCCCTTGTCCTGGAGTCCCCATCCTGCTTCTGGTGTTGGCATTCCCATTCCTGGTGTCCCCATCCCTGATCCCAGTGCCCCTGTTCTGGTCTTCCCAGTCCCATTCCTGCTGTTGCCATCCCAGCTCCTGGTGTCCCCTTTCCTGGGTGGCCCCATCCTGCTCCCAGTGCCCCCATCCCAGTGTCCTCATCCCTCATCC